TTATAGTCGAGCAGTGAAACCGTTTTGAATATTATTACTGTTTTGGGGCGTTACAATTGGTGCTTTCATTGAGAGGTGATTAGATCGTGTGTCTTTTTTCTTCCCCATTCTTTTTCTTTCCCATTCTTTTTTTTTCTCTCGTATTTCTTTTTCGTTTGACTAAAAAAAAATAAAAAAAAAAATCTTTGTTTTTGTAGAGTGCCGTGAGTTTGCTACCTTAAAAAAAAAAATATTATTTTGTCTTTATTTGGGTTGCGTGAGTTTTAGAAAAAAAAAAGTTTTTTTTTTCGGGTTTGGGAGATTTGAGTTTAAAAAAAAAAGAAAAAAAAAAATTCTTCAAACACGAGTCCGCGAAGCAAAGAGCAAAGAGAAGAGAAGAAAGCCATGGCCAATCGAGAGATGAAGGAAAAAATCAAGAGCTTTGAAGGCCAATTCAAAACCATGAGCGAATCTGTCGATGCAAGGTTCGAAGCCCTAACCAAAGAGCTCGTCGACACCAAGACCGCCATAGCCAATGATCGCACGGCCTTGATGGAGGCCATCAACCAAAGGTTCGACGAACTCTTGAGGAATTTCCAAGGTCATCAGCCACCGCGCCACAACGATCGACCACCGCCGTTCGACGCTCGACCACCTCCACATGGCGATCGACCACCCCCGCATGATGCTCGACCACCACCCCATGCGCACGACCAAGCTAGAATAGAGTTCGAGCAATTCGAACGCGAGCAGGAGGAGGAGTACGAGAGGCAATCGCAGGCCTCGAATCATCAAGGTCGCCCACGTATCGAGAAACCGAGGCTTGTGCTGCCCACGTTCAACGGAGAAAATCCCGACGCATGGCTCAACCGAGCTGCACAATATTTTGACATCAACGAGACGCCTTGGTACGAGAGGGTCAAATATGCGGCCTATTATCTAGACGAAGAGGCCAATGTATGGTGGCAATGGCTCATGAGCGTCTACCAAGGCAACCCGCTCCACATCCCATGGGAAGAATTTGAGCGCGAGCTACTTGCTCGATTTGGGTCGTCCGACTACCACAGCTACGATGAGGCGCTTTCACACATCAAGCAGACAGGAAGTCTTCGGGACTACATGAAAGAGTTCGAGCGACTCGCCTGTCGGGTGCGCAACTGGCCGATCTCCGATCTCATCGGGACTTTCATAGGTGGTCTCAAATTCGAGCTAGCCACGGAGGTAAGGCTCGACCGACCACGGACCATGCGCGAGGCCATGGAGTCTGCGCGAAGGAGGGATGAACACTTAACGGCCACACGAAGGATCGGGCGAGAGAGTGTGCGAAACTTGGAGCAACGGCGCGCGGACCAACACTTGGACGAGCGCGCAATCAAAGACAGCGCACCATCGAACGTGAGCAATGTCCATCCCAATCCGCAACCGCCGAACAACTTTCAAATGCCACCGAGCGTTAAACAACTCACACTCGAGGAGATGAGACGCCGACGTGAGAAAGGTCTCTGCTACAAATGCGAAGAAAGGTTCACCCCGGGCCATCAATGTAAACAAGTTTTTCTGATCGACGTCATTGAAGAGGACGAGGAAGGAGCCTATGAGGACCAACCGGCGCAACAAGTGAACCAAGATTTGGAGATCTAGGTTAATGCAATGGCAGGCCTACAAGGACCGAGAACAATTCGACTGCCCGCCAAGATCAAGGAACGGCCAATCGAGGTACTAGTCGACACTGGCTCATCGCATAACTTCATTTGTGACCTAATACCTAAGGACTTAAAGCTCAAGGCAACGAAAGTAGAACCGTTCGATGTAAGGGTTGCCAATGGAGAGCGGCTAAGATGTCATGAATATTATCGAGAGGTGCCCATCAACTTGCAAGGCGAGATCATCAAAGCCGACCTCTATGCACTACCTATTGTGGGGCCCGAGATAGTTCTTGGAATTTAATGGCTTGAAGGACTTGGAGAAGTCACTACGAATTACAAGAAAGGCATAATAGAGTTCTACTCGGGAAGCCGACTCATCATGCTAAAAACCGAACCGAAAGGAATTAATCGTAAGGCCAAGATGAGGAGTTTGGAGATAGCCTCGATCCTTGAGGACAAGGATGTGCTTAAAGGGGG